TGCCTATACTAGCAGTTACCACACACGCCCTTTTGTTCATTCAAGTTGCTATCCCATTTCCCATTCCCGATTCCGATTGCGTTTTAGTTTTTGTTCTTCGGGCTGCTCTCTATACTTTCGGGCAGAACTTTTGCGACATTGGCACTGGCGAATGATTTAAAACTTTTCTTGTTATTTTCGTCTTTAACAAGTTTTCCGGGAGCCTAGAAACCGGAGTCCTGGACCGGAGCTATGGCCCAACCGAGATGGAACAAGGCCACCCAGGAGCACTATTTGCTGCCGGCAAAGTTGTATTCAACAAATTAATTTAATGTCAGACACAAGACGCAAACTTGCCGGGTTGCGGCTTGCATCGCTCGGAATATTAGACTGGGGAGTGACTGGAGTTTATTCTAGTTTCGCCCCTTGTTTTCTTTTTGTTTGGGCCTTTAAATGAAGTGCCGGTGACATAAATTCATTTAGGACAGGCGCTAAAACGGAAGCCAACTTTTATGGATGCTAACATTTAAGTATTTTATGCCAACTAGTGGGTGATGTTGGAACTTGGGGTTAGGGAGTGACAGGTGATAAGGTGGGTACATTTCTGGTATTTATACTGGTAAAATTGATAATAAATAATATCATTTTTTCCTCTCGGAGATTCTTTGACTTCAAAAAAGAGAGTAAGAAGCAATGTGACAACCTTATAAAAATCTCTTAAATTACATACCCTCAATTTTTTTATTTTTTATCAATATTTTATGCACTTCCTTAATCATGGCTTTTTAATTTCCATCCAAGTAAGTGGGTTAAGTGCAATAAACCGAAAGGAAGCCACACACAGAACACATTACAGAACAGCCAGCGGCAAAAGCTTTAATCTTAAAGCCCTGCCAGTTACCAAAATGTCGCGTGGGTCTTAACTGGAATCAGGACTTCTTACCACCTCCGAATAATAAACCCCCGGCTCCGCCAAAGCACTGGCCATTTGGTAAGCAAGCAAGCTGAAACACTCCGGATTCCGGAGTGGAGAATACCGCACTTACACTGCCATTTGCTGGCATTACATTCATTACGAGGGCAGAGCTTGCCACCCAACTCCGTCCGGGATAATTGCACTTGTCAGCATTTGTTTTACACTGACCAACATATGACCCCCGAAGTTACGTATTTACATTTTATATATACACCCTATACGCCCCAGTTGAGAATGGCGTAACATAAATTGCCATTGTGTGCAATAAAGTGCAAATAAAATAAAGTAAAACTGCAAAAGTTTACATTTTATGTATAAATATTGTATGTGAGGGTAAATCGTTGGCAGTGCCATTCCCCCTATTTGGGGATGTTGCGAATTTATTGCACGCCATTTGAACGTTTTGCTGAATTATTGTAAACGTAAATTGAAAATGGCAGAGTGGGCAAAAAGAAGGCAAATAAATATCAAGGAACGTTTCCTTGTATTTTTTTCCATTTTTTTTGCGGCCTGGTCAGTGCAGCGTAAAACAAAGGCCAAACAATTGCATTACATGGTCCAGAAAAGAAGCGGTTCGGATGAGTGCCCAAAGCTGCTTTTGCGGCAGTGCTTTAAAAACCCTTTAGCAAAAATATTTACTCAGGACCTCAGGACCTCAGGACTCTCCCTCTCTCTGTCTAGACATTTGCATTTCCATTCAAATCTAAAACAAATTCGCCACGCACAAAAGCCAACAAAAATCAATTTTCCCTTCGCACAAATAAAGGGGTTTTGAAAGTGATACAAATTGGGGTAGAAAGGTCAAATATTCACCCCGAAAAATAAAAAAAACATTAAAGGATTAATGTAAAATTTAAATATAGCCAGAGAGAGACACTCGAAAAGCTTGCAATAAAATGTAAATATTTTATAGATAAGTTCCGAATGAGAGTGAACCCTTTTTTTTGCTGCCCTGCGGTTGCGGCCTTTGTTTGGACCTTTTTTAACCTGATTTTGACAGGGCTAATGGGCTTACACCATGTTGTTGTCTGCTCATCGGGCGGGTAAATGGGCCCTGTGAAATTCCGGGAAGCTTAGCGGTTCATCAAACCCTGCTCAGTGGCTTAGGCCGCATTTAATTCAATCGAAAGCAGTGAAAAGTGCAGGAAGGGAATTACGTGATATGCCAGATACCCAAAACAATGGCAAAGCGAAATGTCAAAGTGCTGCTGGCTCAATTTTGTGTCAACGACGTAGTTCAGGTAATTTCCGCAGAAACTTTGGCAGCCATTTTGTCGCTGACATTTTATTTATGTGCGCCCATAACTCAACTGTAAATGCTCACATACCAACGTGCCCGCATCCTCGCACACACACAGTGAGCACACACACACATACGGACACATTAGCTAGGACGAGCCAAGTGCTTCTAGTTTCCGTTTCCGGCGCAAAGTTGCCTGGCAGCCCGGCAGCCTTGCAAAATTAACAACAATGGCGGTGCTAAAGACGTCGCCTCATCTTCGCAGTGTGTGCGTGTGGCTTTTGTGGCTTTAAGTAGAGAAATGTGCCAGGTCACTGGGGGGTGAAACGGGGATCCCCCGCCATTTAGTTGCTGATTTTCTTACACTTTTTAGCGCTGCTAGTTCGCCGTCATTTTACGGTGAGCTTTCCGTACGTGCAAGGCATTACGACTCCTGCGACTGAATGTGAATGTGAGTGCGAATATGAATGCATTCTGTAGTTTCGGTAAGGGGGGCTAAGCGTTCGAGGTGAGGCTGCCACGATATCTGACTGCGTCTAAGCACCGGGGATTTATGTAGTCCTCTTGCCCCCGGCACACGGCCAATTGAAATGTCACGTCGGACGAAGAATGTGAGCGTAATGAAGCGCTTAATGTGGTGGGAAATTGGGAAAGGGGTGCCAATCTAATCAAGGGATAGGAATAACTTTAAAATGTAAACGTAAAAAATCGTAAACTTTCCTTTCAGCTGCATTATTATCATCAATAAGATAACATTTCTTTAAAAAAGGGTTTTAATTTAATGCTTTTAGCTTGAGTCATGAGACTAAATTGTGTTCTGTAAATATTTAGCCTTGAATAAAAACAATCATGATTATATTAAAAAAGGGAAATCGATTAATTTATGAAATCAATTTCACAAAATATTAGAGCTCATCAATAATGTTTAACCTCATGGAAATGTAACGCAAAAAGCCCCAGCAAAATTGAAGTTATAAAATTTTAAACAAGATAAATTTAACTACAGTTCGATTCCAACATAATCCAAATGAGAGAAACAGGAACAAAATTACTAATAGGATCAAACGATTATGATTCGTGGTAAAATAAATATTTTAAAAACAATAAATAAACACAGTTCTTCCTGGCTTTATTCAATGGGCAATCACACGGCGCATTGGCTCGTAAATTCAGTACCGCTCGCCACTTCCGCAAATGAATTGAAAACATCATTTGGCTAATTAGCATTTGATAATCCCACCAGGAAGCGTAAAACCATAGTTTTAAATAAATTCTACTCTCGCCATTCAGCGGTCACTCAATGCCATTTCAAATGGCAAAGATACATTTTCGATTGTCATATTTTCGACCATTTTCCATTTCGATTTCCAATTCCATTCTCTCTGCCCCAACCAATCCGTTTCTATGGCAGCCCGTGTGCATGGAAAGCATTTTAAAATGTCAATCCAATGAATGTTTTATTTGTGACGATGCAGCAGCAGAAGCAGCCATCAATTTATGTGGGTTCGATATGGGATAATGGCAGCTGGCATTTTATTTAATTCGCACGACTGCATTCGATTTATGCATTTGAAAAGTTCTGTGGTGTGGGACCAGCATCTATCTAACATATACATTTTTAAGTTTTACTTTTATCCGAGTGAATAGAACCGAAACTTGTCTAGCAAGTTCGAGCCCGCTGATAGCGACAGCAATTTGCGTCTTCACTTTCAATGCTCCACGGTTTCCCATATACATATATATGTATCCCCACTCTTGATATCTTGGGTTTCCCTCTTTTGCTGCTGCGATGGCAATGAACTTCTGCGGGATGCAGTCGAGAACCTCAGACCTCAACTTACTTTATCTGTATCTATCAGTTGCCCAGTTGCCCGAGAGCTGTCAAACTTGTTTTGCCCGCCAACGAAACCGAAATGAAGCTTGTTTCGGTTCTGTTCTTGAAGTTCTTGCCGTTCTTGCCTCCTGTGGTACACGTTGTATGCCACATGTGCAATCCAATCTTAGCCAACGACATTTGCTGACCTTACGGATACGAAACGATAATGTTACGCTCTTAAGCAAATATCTACCGATATTGTGTCCTCCGGACCGAATGCATATAAATGAGCAAAGGAGCCTCAAGGATGTCTGACACGAGCTCGTTTCCGTTGTCAAAATGCACAGGAAAAAATGAAAAAGGGAAATAGAGTCAGGTAAATTCTAAAATCTCAAATTTTTATTTTTTTAAATATTTAATACTTAGGGAAATTGATTTCTAATAGAGCTATATATTCCAAGGTACATATTTTCTTTCTACTCGTAAAACAGCTTGAAAATTGCTCATTCTTTATTTATATTACTGACTTCATTGACCTATAAATAATCACGCAGTCTTTGTTTTGCCAATAAAAGACACACGTGTACACTGTACATATTTAATAAGGGAAAAAAAAGGGTCTTAAAGTATAAGCTTTAAATGATTTTTTTTTGTATTATAAAGAATAAATATTTGTTTTATTAAATAATATTTATTATTTCATCTGCTTGATGAAATTGCCCATTTCATCAGAAAGTTTTTTAGTTTGGTTTGATAATTTTTAAATTTGTAATGACCCAATATAATTTTTGGCCTTAAATAGTTTTTTGCTACAATTTAAAAAAACTTTTTCAGTTTGGAAATCATATATTTCATTGGAAATAAAATTTTGGGTCAGTGTAAGCCCTTAGGGGGAAAAGAAAATCTTGCGGTTTCTGCTAAACCATAGGCCTATAAAAACCCGAAACCCTTTTGCACGCACTTCATTATCTAATCGATTCAAGTCCGGAATGAGTGTCAATATCTTAAAGGATATTTTGTCCTGTCGGTGGATTAAAGTTGCGGCTAAGCCTCAGAGAGCACATCATGTCGTCGAAGATTTCCTGAGACTGCCCGTGTTCTTCTACAACACCGTGGGTATAGAGCCCTATGAAACTGACCGAAAACCCGGATTTTGGTTTCAACTCTATTTTGTGCTCAATTGTATCAACACGCTGAAAGTACTCGCTGAAGAGCTCGTATTTATGGGAATCACATTTCGGGAAGATGAGGATTTCCTTGAAAGCTGCATCATATTGGGCTACGTGTCCTTCGTGTTCGTCGGCATTCTCAAGTTAATTACGGTGCTGATTAAAAAGCAAAAGCTGACCCGTTTGGTCCGCCAGTTGGAGTCCTGCTTTCCGACGCCCAGTCAAAAGGATCAGGAGGAGTATGCTGTGAATAGCTATTTGAAACGATGCAACATTTTCACAAGAGGCTTTGGTGGTCTCCTTACGATTATGTTTTTCGCGCACAGCCTGTTACCCATAGTCATATACTACTATCAGATTTGTGTGATCCATTTGCCAGATGCGAAGCCATCTCTGCCATTTTTCGACCTCTGCCTTTGGGAGATGGAGGGACAGCTGGATTTTTTATCCCACCTACGTTCTCCAGTCGATCGCCGGTTACACGGCCACCTGCGGATCCATATCCAGTGACCTCATGATCTTTGCCGTGGTTTTTCAGATCACTATGCACTACGACAGACTGGCTAAAGTTCTCAGGGAGTTCGAGGTTCGGAACCATAGTGAAACCAATGGAGCCAATAAGGATTTTAAGGCGCTGCAATCCCTGATCGCCCAACACATCCAAATACTTCGGTTGGCTTAAAGATTATCAAAATTGCGAAAACATCGATAGATTTTTTTTAGCCATGGTTGATATTAGCGATAGTATCGAAAAAATATATGTGATTAAAAATGTGTGCTCGATTCAAATCAAGATCAACGCTTAAAAAAAGACTAAAAATGTAATATGTTACCCAAGCGATACTATCGATAATATTCAAAACGATCGATATCATCGATAGTGCTATGGATCCTTTTACCAACCCTAAACTTAAGTACCAAACAATAATATTAATTTAATTTATTTTAAGGATCAACGACGTGATGAACGATGTCTTTGGAGTTCCCTTGCTGTTAAACTTTCTGGCCTCTTCACTGCTTGTTTGCCTGGTGGGATTTCAATTAACCATCGAGTTCAGTCCCGCATACTTTTTGAAGCAGATGCTACTCCTGGTTTCGGCATTGGTAGAGGTTTATCTCCTCTGCTTCTTCAGTCAGATGCTGATCGATGCGGTTTGCTATAATGACAACTTCCTAAGATCTAACCCACTAACCCGGCAATTTCAGAGTGAGAATGTCAGTACTGCGGTTTACGAGATGAATTGGACCGAGGCCGACACACGATGCCGGAAAATGTTAGTTTTCCTTTCAATGCGAGCCCAGAAGCCAATTTGCCTGAAAGCTACCATAGTCCTGGACTTGTCTGTTGAGACCATGAGCATCGTAAGTTCCAGAGGTTATAATTATTGCATAAATATTTGTTTTAAATTATTGTATTTCATTATAGTTTCTTAGCATGTCTTACAAGTTCTTCTGTGCTATTCAAACTATATATAATTAAATGCTTATCACTGATAAGTTATCAGTGTCATTAAGAAAAACTAAAATATATTAATATTACTCAATGAAATGTAGAAAAACTCTAAAAATAAATATTACAAAAATTAAATCCAAAGATATGAAATTTAGGATGATAACTTGTAAGAGTACAGTGTATGTGGATGGTAACAAGGAGATACATAGAAAACAATCAAATGGCTGGCGAAAAGAACACAGCCGCCTGAGGAAAAGCGGAAAAGCAGGCAGACAAAAGATGGCCTAAGGTTTCCCAAGTACTCCTCGTCTTTCCCCTTTCCTATTTCGTTCAGTCGTTCATTCTCGCATTCATTCGGCTGCCTGCAAAATGTCGCTTTGCATGTGTGAGTCCCTATATCTCCGCTTTGGGCCACAGGGCGTATACGTAATGCTGCCGCCAAGGCGGCTTTTGTTCAACATGACAAAGACATGACAGCGACAGCAGCAGCACGCAAGAACTACAACAACCACGAAATGGTGCTCTTTGTAATGCTTTTAATGCTTTCAAAATTCTCCCTGGATTGATTTATGGCCACGGTGGAAGAAAGGAAGGCAGGCAGGACCAGGAATAGGACTTAAGACCAGGCATTGACAAATCAATGGGCAGCTTTAGAGGTCACAAAGATGAGCTGGCCATTCGGGCGAGTGGGGGCAGGATTACTGGGCAAAAACTTATGAAGAAATATCTTTTGGCGGCTTTCAAATTTATTGAAGTCCCTTGATAAATATCGCCCTCGCCAACGTCCTGGCCATCCATTTATTAGCACCGAATGACAACTGAGGCACTCCATTGTCACCAGAGCATTCATCAATTTCACTTACTTTCGCATTTTGATGGAAAACTGGCAGCCAGAGGAAAACGAAAAGAAATCAATGGCCTTGGGTAGGTAAACATTGTCTACTCCTTTGCTTTGTTTTGCTTTCATTGAAAGTTCTGTGCTGTTCTAGCTGATTTGCATATAGAAAACTTGTTAATAATGCCAGCTGAGGTGGGATGGAAATGGGAAAATACCGCCCCCGAAATCCGACCGTCGGTAGCAACAACTTTTCCAACCGGCTTAGATGAAAGTTTTCTGATTGAGTTTTTGACAGTTTCTCTGAGGGATTCTTATCCCCCACCCCCATCCCGAATAAAGGTGTCTGCACTAAGCTTGTTTTGATTTTCCGTTTATTGTTTTTGCTCAGCTGCCTTGGAAAAGTTTGTTCGGCTGCTAATTGCCTGAGCTCATAATTAGAACAAATGCAAATGGATGTAACGAATTTTCCCCTCCGAACCGCAGAACCTTTTTCCGCCCCGAATATTTTTGGTAAATTTATGCAAATGACGGTGTGCGTTAAAATTCACGACTAATTAGCTCGAAAGTTAAATGGAATCACAAAGTATTCGGCATTAATTTATGTTGGAATACAATTTTTGTGACGCCTGACAATTTTTTCTTGTTTCCTCTGATGCTGCCACCACGATTTGCATAAACAAATGCAAACGAATGCCAAATCAACGGGCCGACAGGAAGGCGGCTGCCACGCCCACCTGCTGTTCAGTAAAAGTTTTAGCCATTCAACTTTGGCCATGCAGAGAGCATTCAGCATTTATACTTGGATGCAACAATGTGGAGAAACTTTTTGGACAACATTTCGCATGTGAATAGCAAAAATGTTGAATGCCATAACACTATGCAAAAAGAAACTTGGGAAGGAAACTTGAACAAAATATGCAATTTTTTCTTTGTTTCTTTTAGTTTGTATTAAAATGGCAACCGTCTTGCATTAAATTATTTAATTTATTTTACATATAATTTTACAAAGGACGTGTTCAATTATTGTGTCACGTGGTCTGTTCCACATCCATTTGGTTAACACTTTAATGCGTTTCACCGAACATTGTCGGATGAAAACAAGAGTAATTTATCGCATGGGCCAATTTGTGGCTTAAATAATTACAATTAACAATTGTTTTTCCCTCCGTACATAATTAAAATGGAATGTTTTGGTCAAATGGTTAAAGGATAAGCTTTTTTTGTCTGGCATATAAAGGCTTAACAATTTCATCAAATTAGGGATTCAATTTAATTTTTGAATTTTAATTTGTTTTTATACTTTATTATTAGGATATAAATGAAATCAAAAAATGTAAATGTAAATAATATTGTAATTTTGTTATTAATTATAAGCCATATAAGATGGCAGATATTCGCCTTCTGTACTTTAAAATTCAACATTTAAGTCCCACGATTGAGTTCGTGTAAATGGCTGTCTGATTCGTATTTCCCTTGTTCAGATTTTTGACAGTACTTTCAAATGAAATGGCCAAAATGCTGGTCCCTCGATTTCCCCAAAGCCAAAAAGAGCACGATGCGAATAGCAACGAAATCCGCGTGCGAGCATTTCGAAATTCGACTGTTGTCGCTGTTGACGTTGTTGCAATTAGCCCCGAAATGCGGTTCAATTAGGGTAGTGCCCGCCCCCGGGCCGTGGGCGGTGGGCGTGGTCTAGGGGGCCCACTGGCCGCTAATTTGCATATTGCATTACATGAATTTTCCAAACTAGTCAAGAGCTCGGGATGCGTTACGTTGGTATGGAATCCGTTTACCGAGCACAATGTTGTCCGGCCTAATTAAAAATTTTACGCCGCTTGCAGTGCATCAATAATTCGATTGTCTGCCGCTGAAAGTGGTAACTTTGTTTTGTAAATTTCCAGAACGATACACTTAAAGCCCGTGTGCTGTATTGATTTTACCATAAACATCCTGTTGGCTCCCATAATGCGGCCGTTACTTCGCAAATCCAGGTTGTCTGGTCGTATTCCCTTAAAGATAAACCGGCGTAAACGTCAATTATGGGGGCGCACTTCCCGGTAACCGAAGCCCGGATGATTGAATGACGGAGGCCCGTTGTCGAAAACAAAAACTAAGCAAACGCTTAAACCTCGTCAACGCCAACAGCAGCGATGGGAGTGACATTTTTTGAAAGTAATCCCGACGAAATGTTTGATTTATGTCAACGTGAGGAAGGGGCTGTCGACCATTAGTTGGTCGGGGAATATGCGGGCCATGGGTGTAGTGTTTCAGAGGGACAAGTGGGTTAAAGATGTTTAACACCCGCGAAAAGTTGTAATTCGCTGGAATTCAGATTAAAGAGTTTGTATTAATAAGTGGGAGGGAGAAAGACACATTCGGAATTCGAACTGGACTACTTAGAACATTCACATATCAAATTGATATGCCGGATATCAAATCTAAATCAAATCGTTCATTGTTTTATATGAACTTTTTGCGGTGTACACAAAATGTTATATATGCAAAGATAAGTTAGATTTGGAGGAAAAAAAGTTAAGTATGTAATAAGATTTGACTAATTTTGACTAAATTTCATGTAATATTCCCAAAATATATAGGTTATTATTTATTCACTTTAAATTTATGCAAATATTCAAAAACTTCTGTTCATGTTGTGCCTAGTGGTTTATATTTTTTGCAATTAATTTTATAAACAGCAGCATAAATCAGAAGCTAATCTATTTTGAGTGACAATAAAGATAATAAACTAATTAAAGTCCAATCAGGTGGTTAATTTCCGGTCATGTACCTATAATTAATCAAACGCTTGGATAAAATCAATTATAATTTTAACGGGTAAACCAGTCGATAGAGGCGGGGTTGTGGGCTCTTAATTTAGTTTTTCTGACAAAGCAATTAACCAAAAGTTCACACAGGAATATGCAAAGGGACAGGAACAGACAGCTGGCCAATAAAATCCATATCCAGAGCAGATCACCCACCTTGAATTCTCGGAAGGCAACATACGGAAAGGGATCCTTCTGGGAGATCATGCCCAAAGTTATCATCTCGCGGAGGGTTTGCTGCTTCCAATACTCCACGATTCCGGCACTGTGGGCCCGATGGATCAGATCATTAATATGATGTTCGTAGATGGAGTTGGACTGCATGACCAGCGATAGAAGGACACTGGTCCTGATGATCCGCAGATCGGGTTGAACAGTAAAAACGGGTTGCTTGAAGAGCTCCTGCCGCTTGGCCACAATCATCCATTCGGATGTTAGAACAGAGAAAGCGTGCGATCTATTTAAGGCCACTCCTTAGTGCATTATATTCCCCAGTCTCCTTGAAAGTCAACTGATCCCTGAGAACTCTAATGGGTCGCTGCCACATGAAGTCGTTTAGGTAGAACCTCTCGGCCTCCTCGAAAAATACGGTAACTGGGGAGTCGCGAAGTTCCGGAAAGTTGGAAATCTGCCTTGAAGTGGGTCTCTTGGTGAGCAGGGTCTTCAGATGGGCCGCATAGAGAGTACTCAAAACCAAGCCAAGTAGAAACAAGCTGGCATTGGTGACCCTCGAGCTGATCGTGTGCCCGGCACTCATATTAAAAGACTGTCCCATAATGCCCGATATCATGCGTTCGTTGAGGATCAGATTCGACCAATCCACCTGTTTCTGCAGCAACAGCGGTCCAAAGCAAGTGTCCAGGATGGTGAAAATGCAGTAGAAGATCAGCAGGACGATGAGGAAATTCGCGCCCACCATCACCACATATACATCGGCGGTGGGTATTTCCTGGGCACGCGGCACCATTATGAACCAATCCTCCTGATCGTAGATATTCGAGAAAATACCCAAATCACTAGGCATCTCAAAGCCACACAGGCTGATGGGCATGTTGATGGTCCCGTTGAGGGTCATATTTCGGAGCAGAATCAAATTCAATCGCTCACCCTGCTTAATGGGTCGTTGCCAGCGAAAGGTAAAGTTGTAGATCCGAGTGAATTCCAGCAGGAACTTGTAAACGTAGCCAGTCATCTGGAGTTCTCCGGTCCTCCGATCGCGATAGACAATCGAACGTGGTGGAAATTGATCGGGTAAAGTTATTATATATCTGCCATTGTAGTTCCGAACCTTGGTGAATATGGGCGATTGCATGGGATTAACTTTTAACCACCTTTGCGGAGAAAATGGCTGCAGTCGATATATCCTATTTTTCTCTGCAATTACAGCAACGTGAAGAAAACGTAGATGCTCCGCCGTGTTGGCAATGTCGGCTGAGGGGCTCTTTTCCCATTTCCTTAATAGCAACACCCTCACCTTCCGCATATTCAAGAGGCTCCGGTCGAGTGCCTGCCACAAATCCGAGTCCAACTGCAAATTTCCGGTCTGCCAAATCATGACGAGCATTTCGTTGTTGAAGCTGCCGCGCGCATAGAAGTCCATCTGCTCGTTGAAATTCAAAACCGGCCAGGGAAATCGCTCCAAGCCAGATGCATTGCTCTGCTGGCTGTGCCGGAGTAGCAGGACCGTTTCGTGGGGTTTATCCCGGTAGATGCTTCCCAGGATGGGATTTATCCACCTCGTGTCGTTGAACAGCAGTACAACTGGAACTAGTAGGGGCCACATGTCCAGGCGGAATGATGGAAAAACCAGGCATACCCAGCATTATCATTCAAATAAACGCTAATTAGCGGAGGTTACAAATGATTTGGGGGCGCGCTAATGGAGCTACGGATTGCAGGGCATTGAAAAATGGGCGTCATTAGCATTAAGTTTTACGGCTTCACAGGCTCAATTATAAGTTCGAGAAAATTCGGGAAGGGGAAAGAAGGAAATTCGGGTGGGTGGCCTTCAGTTATTCCATCTCCGGTTGAATATTTCAGAATGATTTGTGTATTGCCTTCGAATATTTGAACGCTTCTAATTGCCTGGGCAAATTGCTTTCAATGTTTTTCGTCAAATTTGCATATACCTTCGAACACATCCTTTTGACTCCATTAAGCCTGTTTGCAATTGATTTTATCTCGGTTTCGGTTTCGGTTTCGGTTTGGGGTTTACTTTCAATCAAAATGTATTGCATTTGTAGATTGATACCTCCTGGGCTTTGCTGGCCAAAAATACTAATTGCTTTGGCTTGAATAATGTATTGTTTTAATTTTACAGAAGCCACACAACCCATAACTTTAAACTGCTCATCAAGTTCTCAACAAGTTTTTACCACTTCCGCTTCCTGGGTGCTTCTGCTTTCCCTCAATTAAACAAGTTAAATGGGTAAAAAAAGAGGGGAAAACGTTGCTTGAAGAGCGTGTCGCCTTAATTTTCACGCGAGTGCATATTTGATTTTCCCTTTTTATTCATATTTCCGCCGTCTGCTCTTATTTCGTGTTTTTGCATAAAGTCGAGACGGAGAAGCTTTTCATTTCCTTCTCCCCGTCGTTGACATGCATAAAATTGCAAAGAATTGTCGCTTGGCATACATAAATTATGCCGAATGGCCTGAGACTTTTCCTTAGCCGCGCAACACGGCGTATGCGTAATGTAACATTAATTGTATTTATTTGCTTTGCTGATTGATTTCCCCGGCTGAAGAGGATTTAACGGCCTACAACTTTTCCCCGGGACAATCTGGGACAAGACAATTTGGTTTATCAAAGTCATTTGGCTCCTGGCCCAGAGGCAGCCACGCCCACATAAATTAACGCAGACTTAACGAAGCGTTAACACAAAGGACGAAGAGGTCCTGGAAGCGACCCCAGACTCCTGCCGACTCCTGCGACAATAAATTTATTGGTTTTATCCTGAAGCTTATCAAGTTCGCCTCGTCTGTTCATCTCATCGCACAACATGTGCAGTAAATTTTTATGTCCAATGGCTTTCGCCTCCATCGCGATATAAGTAATATAATTTATGCACAAAATAATGAGCGTGCTTTTAGGCGCAGCTCGAATGGGAAAATATGTGTGTGTGTTGGTAAAAGTTATTAATTGATTCGGCTTTAAAGCTCCGGTAGGTTCATCCTTGAAAAGTGGGCGGAAAAATGGAAAAGTTTTTCATTTTCCAGCAGCCCACACACCACTTGAAACCTGAAGCCGAATCCCTGTTGATGGGATTGCCTAAGTAGGGTTGCTTAAGATTTTTCGACAATGTGTTAAGTGAAAATTGACACAGGCCAAAGGGGAAAAGTTTCAATGATTGAACGTAGGCATTTCCCAAAGTGGAAAGGCTTTAAAGGTATCCGTATCTCGGGAGCATTTAAGGTCTGTCAGCCAGGCAAAAGTTGGCCACGTTGAGCTGTGTGAAATTGTTCGCCATTTTGCGGGCGCCACAGTTTCAGCTGTTCGCTTTTTTAATTAAAAAAGTGGCCAACTGAAAAGGGGGCGACAGCCATTTGAACTTGTTCCTTGCCGCTTTTAATTTCCAATCTCTATTCCGGAGCTGCAGTGTTGCAGAAACTCTAGACAAAAAAGTAATTAAAATACTGCAAATATTTGCCCAGTTCGAATGCATTTCGCCCCGATCTCAGCCAATTCTGCAAGTCGCGCTGGAATCCTTGACCGCATTCCGCATATCCCCACTGTCCCCCCGAATCATCCTGGCGTCTAATACTCGGGTATGAGTGTATCCACCATTCATTTGTCTGCGTTCCGTGTCGTTTGCCTGACAACCAGGCCGCATCCTTTTCGAGTTTGCGCTTGTTTGTCATCCTTTTTGCGGTCCCCAGCTTGTGCCCTTCATATGATTGCGGCTTCATGCTTTTGCATATTTCCCATGAATACCATTTTTGCACCCACACACATACAGGAAGCACGAATTATGCGTGAATATTCGCAGATATGCGAACTGAGTTGTCAACAAGCTCAGGTTGTGGCTGTCTCAAAAAGCCGCCCATATATTTGGTTACTCTGGGTATGCCGAGAATTTAGTTGTCAACCTTGGTTTGGTACAATTTGGGGGGTTCCTGCAGCTGACATACGTCTTTGTTGAGAAAGGGGGCCAATTTTTAAGGCAATATTCGCCAAAAGGGGTTAGTATGTATTGCTTGGTATCTAAAACATTGATACTTTCTATTTATTTTGGAGTCCTTTAATTTAATTAATATAATCATAAATTAATGTTGTATTTTAATTTTTAAAATCAATGTCAATTAAAATAAATTTTATAATATAAAGAAACATGCTAAAGTGTGAAAAGACGTGTGAAATGTTTATTTATTGTTTTTTTTTTTTCTTTTAGCTGTAAAATAAAAATAAATAAATATTTATTTTGGAGCCTTTTAATGTTATCTAATTTACGAATTGCTATAAATCCTTAAATTAATGTTGTATTTTAATTTTTAAAACTTGTCAATGTCAATTTTTTTGTAATTTAAAACATAAATTTTGATAGAATGATGTTAAACTTGTGAGAGTCAGTATATTTTTGCCTAAGTATTAGCTAAGACATTCCAGCTAAGTCATTCACCCCAAATGCAACCCTGCTATTAGCAAGGATCCGATCCTCACACCAAAATACCCGAAAATACTATATTTAGGGATTTTGGGATTTCATGCATACGACGTCCACTCTAGAAGCCATGATTTCCGCCTCTTTTATATCAGCGTCTCTCGTGACCAGTTCGTTCGCTCCGGAAAAATTACTTAATTCGATCGCATCCAATCATCCGCGAGTGATTTTCCTGCTAATCTGTGCATATTTCATCCTATTATTGTTCTTATTCTTGTTGGTGAGTTAATTTCTCCGAAATATTGTCGTTTTCTGACTGGAATTCCCCAGAACACAGAAACCACCGTGCGATTTCTAAGAATTGCGACAGTTTGCGAGCCCTCCCTCTGCGCACAGCAAGGAGCAGGTCGCATCCTGCCGGACGAAATTCGGTCGAATCTCACCGGCGCCGATTCGTTAAAATCCGCGCAAGCACGCGCAAACAGGAAGTCTCATCCCAAATGGAATTTTACATCCAATTCTTAGTGCCAGTTCGCGTTGCCCGGGCTGCCAACTTGTTCTTTGTATCGCATTAAGTAAAAGCAGTGTAGGTTTCTCAATTTCCAACACATTTAAGATACAATTCTAATTTACTTTCGATTCCTTATTTAGAAATTTTTTGTTGCTTATGATATAGATTGACATATATAACCATCAGTGGCGGATCTAGGATTGTTGTGGGGGGTGATATCAGAACTAATATTTTGTTGCATACTTTTTGAATACTAATATTCCATCGAACCACGCCCCCGTACCCGCATATAACCATATTCATAACAAGTTCACAGAAACACGTCATCAGGCCTGCAGACTTCGTTGGAGAGTTCGTAAGTATGGCATAGACGTCAAAACATTTAGCTAATTCCTCAAGAGAGATCCCACTTTGAAACCAGTGGCATAAAATCCGTTAAATATGGGGCTTTCTGAGAAAAATATAATGGTATTTTTGCAGACTGGCCCTTTGGACGAAATCCTACTTTTAGACTTTAAAAACGCTATCGCTTGGTCATCTACGGTCTAATAAAATCTATTTTTTTTCTCGTAATCGGCTATAGAAAGACAGATTTTTCTGCTTTTGAACTATGCCAATTGTATCTTCCGTTCGCAGGATAAAAATGATTCTGTGTTTTCTTTACAACGCGATTATACGCAAAAGAGTGGTAACATTGACAAAATAAGTATGAGGTAAACTATTGGAAGCAAGTGGCTTTGCAATCAATGTGGTACTGTCTACATACAAAAAAAATAAAAAAGGGGGGTGGCCGGGTTGACATGGAACGTCCCATATAAGATAATTAAATAAGAATCGTTTACCTTTGATTAACGTAAAGTAATCCGGCTCAGAGCCTCGGATTGAATTTAACGTAAATTAAATATCCCTTTTCTCCATCGTCCTTATCGTACATACCAACACGACCGTATAGAGAGTCGCCCAACGTAGACAACGTTTAGTCTTAAGGACTTAGTTTTAGCATTAAGAATGGACCATATTATCGTATTTGGACTATTAAAGATGAAGTTTAATATAAATTAAATTGTTATCTTTTGAAGGGCTTTCACAGTGCAAATTACTCACACAAATATAAAACAAAATGTCAACGTATGTGTGTGCCGACCGCTGGTATAGAAGGATGCCCATTACCATCTGGGCTTCCATCTTCGATAGGTACACTCTCTCGTCCGAGTCTTAGCCGTTAGGTTTAAGTTCTTATCGTTATCGTTTCTCTGTCTACTACTGTTAGTTTTGTGACACTCTTGTTCTATTTTAAGTTAAATACTATTTAGGGTTCTTACAAAAATAAAGTTGAAAGATGGATTTTAAAATAGATATTTAAGATAATATTATTATATCAATCAAACTTTACTCGTATTTAAGGTTTTATTATCCACAATAAAATACAATTTTTTTAAAATCGAGTGCTGTGTCGTTGACGGTAAAAATGTTGCAAAGGGTAATTCAATTCTTGTAAAACAGTTAAGTCTCACTTTGAAGCCCTTTTTACATGTTTGGCTTGGTTTAATAAAATCCCTTGCATGCTGGGCCATGTTTGGCAATGTTTGACCATGTTTACCCTGTGGCTGTGTGGGCATCTTCAGGGGACTTGAAGAGAGAGCCCCAGCCTCTCGTTGCGAAAAAACCAAAACAGAGAAACTTGTCTAAAACGCTGGGCAATGGCCCCCCTTTTCGCACCACCCCCCTTTCGAACACTCCATGGAAAAGAAGCGTCGAGCACGTGTAGTTGCGTCGATTTGATTGGCCAGAGGCTTTCGCTTTTCGTTCCGAAGACCCGAAGAAAACTAAGAGAGCGGGCTAAGAGAGCGACGAAAACTGGTTTTCCGAGGCGAGCGGGAAAAGCACCCTGTACCTACGCTTGTACCCAGTGCTTTTCTGTCTACAACCAAACGAAGCGACAGTTGTTGTTCGGCGTTCTTTGTGGTCAGACTGCGTATACGTATACGCAACGTCATTGTTTCGTCTGGCGTCGCTCCGAAAAGCGAAAAATTCTGAATACCGGTTGCATTTCCCAATAACAAAAATAAAAATAAAAAAATAAAAATAAAAAAAATAACGGTTGGATATCGGTTTCGTCGTTGCACACGCACGTAATTCGAGTCGCTTTCCGTTAAAATTCAACAACATAACACCCGCAACCACAAAGAATAATAACTATAAGGTACTGCATATTTGGTATTCTTATATTCACATTTGTCGTGTGCGCTGCATTCTCGAAAACGGGTTCTACGGCATTCATTCAATTTAATTCTGCACTGGCTCGTTTTTTATGCTCGTGACGAAAGTGAAGTTCTACGCGATCATAATCTAAGCATTTCCGGCTCGAAAGTAAGAAGGGAAAATAAACGGTGATTTGCAAATAAAACGGCAAAAGGCAAAACTGGCAAAAAAGTTATTTAATATTCATACCCGTGGTAGACAAAAAATCTTCCACAGACAAACATAGCAACAAGTCGGCGCCAACTCTCTTACTAAAAAAAAAGCAAGAAATAAACCACAACCAAATCCAAACTCAAACAACGCTGTGTTTATTAACATTCAGCTGAGAGCGTTGGATAGGTAGAAAAGCCTCGTCTTCCGAGAATTGGCAGTTAATTTTTGAAATCACCTCCGACCAAGCGGCGAACCCCTAAAAAGCGATTAAGAAAAAAGAAAAGAACCAAAGACGAACCGAGACCTGTTAAATACCCGTAGGTGTTGAGTGTGTGTGTGTGTGAGTGTGCGAGTGATAACTGTGAAACTATATACCCAAAAGTTAGAAAAAAAGGAAAGATTCCGGTGAGTCCCCACTTTCCAATGACATTCGAGAACCTTTCGAACCACCCACGCCGCCATAGAAATGGAAAGTTTTTCGCTTAGCCTCCGAAAAACTAGTGAAGAAAAGAATTCTGCAGATCGCAGCTAAAAAACTGATTACGCGACGCGTTCTAGATACATTTTGGGCTGCAGTGCAGATCTGGCGAGATATTAGTTGAATGTGTGCCAAAATGAGACGAGAAATACGGCCACAGTCGTGTTTATTATTTTTATAATTTATTGCCCAACAATAACAAAAATATATACGTATATAATGCGAGATATATATCTGTATAGGTAGATTTTTCGGAGCGAGAACTGTTTGATTGCCGTTTACATCGCAGCATTCTGGTGAAATGCATCTGCAAGATACACACGAATGCAGACTGACACGGAAACCGGCGAGGCAGACGCATAATAAACGATAAATTTCAGGGCAATGACAAAATTGCTGATAACTGACCCACCAACATTTCGATTCTCGCTTCCCCTCGCTTTGTTTGATCATTAATATCTTTTAGTTGGCCATACTACTTACTTGCCATGGTTTGAAAACTCGGCGGAAAAGTTCACATTCAAGGTTAGTCTAGGCTCTAGACTAGCTATATTTTATTCTTGTGGTTTCTTTGGGGCTCAGAACGCTTAGCTAATGATCCCCCAGTGAATGAATGTTTGAGCAGATTTCCCGAAAAAAAGTAAAAATCAATGCTAGCCCCTTCCCAGTTGATTTGGCAATCGCTGTTTTGCCCAACGGATTTATGTTTGTGTGTTCTTTTTTTTTTCTTCTGGTTCGGTTTAGACCAAAATTTTTGTGAGGTGCGTCTGGGAAAGGGGTTTGGGGGGTTGAGGGGTCGGTTGAGCAGACACAGGCTGAGTGGCCGCCCGCTGCTATTTATAGGCGCTCAACAAACATACACACATTCGCTCGCTCTTTGAACAAAATGTATCTTATAGATACACAGGCAAAAAGTTTTGCATCGCCCAGTGAGTCCCCCCTTCCTCCATTCGCTATGTGTCTGGATTGTCTGCCTCATAAATATATGGCCAAACGACAATGGCGAGACACAGAACCCAGTCGTCAGATCGGGATCTTCTTGGGGCTTCTAAGGCGAAGCATGTTGCCTTCTTATACAGGCAGTTAGTTTCTGTGAAATCGAAAACAAGATTGATGCCTCGCAACCGGACTTGGACTTTCTTGGCCAAAAAGGAGACAGCGCAGCTGCTCCGTCTGCCTTTTGTTAGCCACTTGTATCTGTTTAATTGCCGTTGTTCATCTGTGTTTATTCGGGGGGTTGGGAAAATAATAAAATACAGGGAAGCCGCCCGGGAACTTGGCAATTTCGCCTTTCAAGTTTTCCCGCACGGGGCTCAGAGTTATTTTTTCCGAAAAATACTCAAAATACCAATCAGTTGGCGACCAGTTTCGTTTTTTCTTGCATAATCTGCACGGCAACAGCTTGCGGCAAGTGCAACTGCAACCGCGGAGGCTGCGACTGCGCAGTAAATATCTTTTATTTTTTTTTCCTTCGTTTCGGGCATGACAAAAGCTGCCAAGCGATTCGCTTCATTCGCTGCTACGTAATTGCAAGTTCGAGCGCAAAACTTGAAAAACGGCCAACCGATACGATACGAGCCACAAATTGCAGCTGACTGCAGTTGGGCTTTGTTTTCTGGCCATCCCGCTTGCACTCGCTTCTGGCCAATATATCTGTACATATATATATAGAAATATCTGGCAGTATGCAAGAACCGGAAAGGAAGTGAGCGTGTAAGTTACCAAGACTTTGACTCCGAATCGAAATACGGCTCCCAGTGGAAAACCGGTTTGCTCTCGAATGCTTCTTTTCCAAGAAGCACGCCTTGCAGGGCTCGCCAAGTCATTCACTTGCAGCCGATTCGAGTTTGTGGCTCTTGTATCAGTTTTTCTGTTTTTTTCTTCTGCTGGCTGCGCAGCCGCGTTGCAGTTGCAGTGGCAACGGCTGTAGAAGTTTCAGTTGCAGTTGCAGTCGATGCCATTAAGCTCGGGCGCAAGAACAAAACGTAGTAGGGAAAACTACACTTGCAAAAAAGAGAATAATAATAAGTTAATAATGAGAAATGTTTTATTTTAAAAATCCGATTTTATACTATTAATTCATACACTTTACATTAAGTTTTATTAATTGAAATATTTTCATGAAAGTTTATTTAACCTGATACTATTCGAAAAAATTAGTTTACACTTTAGAACTAAAGGTTTCGGTAATATACAAATTATATATAATTAAATAAACAAAATATACATAGATTAGCTTTAAAAAGTAATTTAATGCAATAGCTTAACAAATAATATTACAAATTTTTGAGAATTTAACCAAAATCTATTTAAAATATTATTTCAAAAAATAGTACTTTGTAAAATAACTTACAACTAAATTACGTTATATTAATTACTTTGTAATTTTAGGTTTTCATAACATTTGTTTTAAAAAAAATTATTACACATTTTGAAATTTAACAAACATCTTCTAACAAATTATTTGAGAAAATATTCTTTTCAAAATTCATTAATTCTAAAGAATCTTAAAAAAGAGAATTCCAAATTGTTTCAAGTGCAGTTGAAAGAAGCACGAGTCACCGAACAATGCGAAACCGATAGTTGCTCGTAAACCAGAAGATAGAAGAACCCAAAAGGCGACGTGCGTAGCATGGAGGTACGAGTTTAGTACGAGTGCTTGCACCACTGGTGGGCGGAAGGGGAGTGGCAGCCGGAGGTGGGTGTTAAGTGCTGGGCAACTTCAGTGCCGTCTCTTTCCTTTCGCTGGCTGGGTTTTCGTCTAGTACGACGCATGTGCAGGCTGCTTTCTTGAGGTACTTGAACCTTATTGTCCATATACGTAGGAGTGTGTGTGTGTGTGGGGCCACAAAATGGCGGCAGAGCTAAGGTAGCTTTGGCTCCTAAGACTATGATATATGGTTGCGGGCGACCGAACATTGAACCCTGGTCGGGAAGCAAGGAAATATATAGAGCAAGGCAAAGGGCTAAAAGGAAAAATTCATAAAAAGAATTTGGTGCAATCTCTTTAGCATTTCCTAGGAAATTTTACTGTATTTTAAAACTGATCTTGAAAAAGGAGTGGATACACCCAGAGAAATGTGGGACTATTTTTTAGGTAACGTATGACCTTGAAAAAATGAAATGGACTAAAAAATAAGATTTAGGTTTTTTTTAAAAAAATTATTATTGGGTTTTTTTCCTTCTTTTTAGGTAAAGCTAAAGAGTTTTTTATAGGCCATCGTAACCTTCAAATTGGTCCATAAGACCTAAAATTTAGGAATAATTTAAAGTCGATTATCACTCACAACTTAATACAAATATAGGTCCCTAATATTAATAAACAAATTATTCGGTTTTTAAGTTTAATGTTAAAAATTTTTTAGACTTTTCTTAAAGCTAGTGCTGGAAAAGTTTCAATATATAAAATCAATACCTACGTGGACTATTTTCCTACTTTTAAGGTAATAGTGCCCTATTTTAAAATAAAATTCCTAGTCCCTTTAAGCAGGCTTTTGTGTTCTGTAAGGCTTTTAATCTCGCGCAGAAGACCCATTTCCCACCGAGGACAAAATAAAGTGATTGTTTTTCAGAAAGATAAAATATTTGCTTTTCCGAATAATACAATATAAGCAATTAAAATAATAAATATGTTACTATCAATAGTAAAAATCCTAAAATTTTTCCTTTTATTTTTCCGGTTGTAATATATGAGTCAGGGCTACCATTTCTAGCCTTTTTCAGGATAGATCTGATACGCTTATTTAAACAGCCGTTTTCTGGAAACTTGTTTCTATATCTTGTGTTCTGTAATTCTTAAAACATTTTATTGGAATTGTTTTTCCGCTTTATTCCACATTATTAAACATTGAATCTTTCGTTCAATATCGAAATGTATATCCAATAAAATCCCTCTTTATTCTTTGATGTATTTGCACCTCACAAAGTATTCACAAATTTTAAGCAATCTATGTCCAAACAATTTCCAAACAGAAGCGCCCATTAGGTTAAACTCCTCGGGTCAAGCTCGGCACCTCCCTAATCCCCGTTTGAATGCAGGCTGACCTCAAAACAAAGCTGATTTATGTCGCTCCCCGAAAAGTGTCAACTGGCGGCCAACCTCAACCCAATGCCCTCCATTCGAATCCAATCCAATCGGTGGGGAAAGTGGAGGGGGGCTTCCAGCGGTATCAGCTGCTGGCAATTTGAACTCAATCGACACCCAAATTGATAACTTAATGGGAGACAAAGAGGCAATGTGCAAAGTAAAAGAGACGGGGAGTGAGTTCGGCGGGGCCTTTAAAAAGTTGGCTCAGCATATTTATTCACTGGGGAGACAGTGCCAAGCAATTCGAGCCTTCACGAAAGGCAAAAAAAAGGAGGAGGTAGATAAACAAACAAGGCAACAACTAAAGTCATCTCTGGACCTTGTGTTTGTTGTAATTTTTCTTTTTTTTTCGTAATTTTTGTACTTGTTATTGCTGTTTTTGTTGTTGTTATTGGAGCTGCGCTTTGGCTGCCTTGTCATTTACACGCGTAAACGTCCGTGACCCTCTGGCCCGGCTTTCAACCGACTCCGCCAACTCGGAGGCTCCGAAAGACAAAGACAACACAAAGAGCGAAAGACAACGAGCGAAAGAGATAGCGGGCGGCAGTGGGAGAGAGACGGGGAATGCTAACCAGCTGTTGACGTTAAGTTCAAACTTTTGTTTTGGGCTTTATCAACTTGTTAAGCAGCTCAATCGGAGCATGAGAAAATCCACAACATGCAATATTAAAAGCCAAAAGAGACACTTTCAATAAGCGTCATGAATGAAACTTATTAAATTCCAATAATTGCATAAGTAACTAATTAAAAACAATTTGTTGCTATTTATTATACCCAATTAATATTATTTTAGCAAATTTCCAAATTTGTTTTCTATAACAGCTTTAGGCATTAAATCATAAAATTTTAATCAGTGCAAAATTAATGGGGTCACAGCTATGCAAATTTATGGAGCTAATTGAAATATTATTTGTGAGAGTAGAAAAAGAGAAACAAAAACGACCAACAAAATTAAATGTGAACAGCTTTTGGATTTAAAATATAAGTTTAACTGTGTTTATGTAGGTATATGGTTTATAATCAAAAATGCCTTTTAAATTACGAAAAATAATGAAAAAGTTACAATAAGAAAGCTAAGAGTGATCTGAATAGTAATACTAATGTTTGGTTTAATGTTTGACTAAAAGAGGTAATGAAGAGAGAAACAAAGAGGTAGTGAACAAGTGTACTTATGTTATAATTTATTTAAAAATCTAATGTCTATCTTAATTAAAGAGCAGACTCTTCATAAATTATTAAAACAGAATAAACAGACAAACAAAAAGACAACAATAGCTAAGAATAAGTAAAGCTTAAAGTTTCGCTGCGCCTGCATACAGTGAGCCCTAAAAATAGTGGTTTTGGTAACCTTTAATAATTTTTACTATCCCTTAAAAATATATTAAATGATGTCAAAAGCAATGATAATATGAATAAATAATTTTAAGGTTTTTAGATAAGGATTTTCTTATAAAAACATTAACCTCAAACCCTATTTAGAGGGCGCACTGTAAATTTCGTTTTGTTTTGTCTTTATAAGCTCGTTGAACAGCTCCCAATAACCATGTGAAAATAAACCATATTGTATTTCGTCAATCGAGCTGAATTAAAGTGCAGACGCTTCCTAAACAACGAATCGAATTACGAATTCAAAACTCGAGCGCGACACGTGTGTGTAGGTGGGCTGTGGGTTCCCAGTTCCAAGTTCCAAGTGCCAATGCGAATCGAAAAGCAATTCAAAATTCGATTGGCAACGGTGTCATCGCACCACGAGCTTGTCTAGTCTGTGAGTCAATTAAAGCTCGTGATTAGCATTCGGCTTTCCAGCGAACCCAAAGCTGACTCAAAACCATCGACTTAATGACTCACTTTAATAGACAGATCGATGGATCGTTTGATTACAGAATAACCCAACGGCCAAGTCGAGCTCAAATAATGCCTTTCTATATTTTCTACTTCGGTTTTTTGCCATGGCTGATTTGTTTTCTTTCCACTTGCAGATACACCGCAGATACAGTGAATGGGCCGATTTCATAATAACGGCCAAAGAATCGCAACTGACGCAATTCAATTTGCCCAGCATCGCGCAGCGTCGACCGCAAGCTCATAAATTGAGATTAAGCAAGAGCTCAACGCGGACTGAGGGGTTTTGGCCAAGAGCAATAGCAAATCAATCACAGAGCGCTCGTCGCCCCACCACAATTTGCATGAGCCAACTCGGAAGCAGCCAGCAGAATCCAAATCAGACTCCAAGTCAACCGACACAGATTCAGATACAGAGCCATCATCCCAGCCAACATCAAAATCAAAGCCAGCAGCCAAAGCGTCGGCCAAGTGGCGTTTTATGGCAATTGCGCCATCAGCTGCACAAGCGTAGCACGAGGAAGATGAAAACCATTTCATGATACTACAAGTGGTCCGAATCGGTGCTATTGAACTATCTGAGAATGCCGTCGACGCCGTACGATCTGGTCCAGGATGACCAGGATCTGCGGGTGCCGCTGCACGCCGAGCAGGCCTTCTTCCACGGCATCACATTTCAGGCCAAG